CTGCATGATAAAGCATTATATATATAATATATATTATAATTACATAATGTATTATAATATATATATATTCATCAAATACTTGCTAGAAACAACATTCTGAGTGACCTTAAAGTGTTTTAGTCAAACTAAGGTATCCCATGATTAAGTTAACAGACACACAGTAGGTTTTTAAAGAAGTTCGTGGAAAGAGACCCAACGTAGTAGCTTAGTACACCTAGCTTGTCATGGTAGCCTAGCTTGCATGGACCGGGATCCCATACGGGCACTGGTCCTAATCGCAGCCACCTCACTTCCTTTCAAGCTCCCTGCTTATGGCCTGGGGAGATAGTGAAAGACAGCTCAGAGCCTTGGAACCCTATGCCCATGTGGGAGATCCAGAAGAAGCTCCTGGCTCTTGGCTTTAGATCGACTCAGCTCTGACCTTTGAAGCCAACTGGGGAGTGAACCAGTGGATGAAAGATCTTTCTCTCTGTTTCTCCTTCTCTCTGTATATATGCTTTTCCAATAAAAATTAAAAGTTCACGGAAAATATATATTATGAAGAACTGTAGGTTTCAAACAAACCCATATTTCTGGGACCAAAATGCCATTTTTAAATTCCATTTTTTGAAAGGTTTATTTGAAAGGCAGATTTACAGAGAGGAGAGACAAATCTGCCATCGGCTGGTTCACTCCCCAAATAGCCACAGAGGCCAGAGCTGAGTCGATCCAAAGCCAGGAGCTTTTTCAGGCCATTAGCAGGGAGCTGAATGGAAAACGGAGTAGCCGGGACATGAACCAGCACCCATATGGGATGCCAGCACTGCAAGCTAAAAATTAGCCTTTTATACTACCTTAATTCCACTTTTCTGTGAATTTTTTTAAAGTATCCTCCTAGAATTAACCATTCCATGCAATGATGGAAGTCCTTAGAATTCTGTGCACACTGATCCAGTGACAGTCAATGGAAGATTTGTGAGTGTACTTTAAAAAAAGAAATGCATTTGAGAGGCAGAAAAAGAGCATGGTCCCATCATCCAGCTCACTCCCCAAATCGGCGGGAACCGAAAGGAAGCCAGAGCTCAACCCAGGTCTTCCAAGTAGGAGATCACATCTCAGCCCGAGATGCACAACCAGGGACCCGAGTGTGTGAGCCACCGAGGATGCCCCCAGGGTCTGAATCAACAGAAAGCTGGAGGCTGACACCAGAGCCAGGTGTTGAACCCAAGGAGTCCAATATGGGACATAGGTGTCCTACCCAGCATTTTAGTTTCATTTTATTTAATGGAAAAGGCAGACAACCAGAGAGAAGGAGATATAGAAAGAAAGATCTTCCATTCAGTGGTTCAATCCCCAAGTGGCCACAACAGCTAGAACTGAGATAATCTGAGGCCAGGCACTTCTTCCAGGTCTCCTACACAGGTGCAGGGTCCCAAGGCTTTGGGCTGTCTTAGCTTTTCCAGGCCACAAGCTGGGAGCTGAAAGAGAAGTGGAGCAGCCAGGACATGAACTGGTACCCAGCACATGCTAGGCAAGGACTTTAGCCAATAGCTACTGGCCCCTTACCCAGCATATTAACCCTAGGCTAAATGCCTTGTTGCAGATGCTCTACGGGGAGACTCAAGTTTCATATGGTTTGCTGTCGTCTCCTCCCACCCTCCACCCCCACACTCTACTATTTTAGTGTTTCTGGACCAGTCATGGTTCCCTCTGATTGATTACCTCATATGTATGGAAAATACAGCACCTCAGTAGATGATCCTCAAAGGTGTCTATACCATCCTTTTCCTCTTCTTTTAAGCATCCTTTAAACTTGATAGTGAACAAGACTGTCAGAATCTTCTTCAGCAATGGTGAACCTTAAAAATATTTCCCTTGCTGAGTTCAAGTCCTGGCTACACCTGCAGCTCCTCCTTCCAGCTTCCAGTTAGTGCAGACTCTGGAGAGCAGCAATGATGGCTCAAGTGGCTGGCGTCCTGCCACTCACATCCAAGACCTCGAGTGAATTCTCATTCCAAGTCTGGTTATTACAGACATTTAGGGGAATCCTGTTTCTTTCTCACTCAGAAGAAAATGTATAAAGAAATATATACAGGTGGGTGTTGTGGTGCAGGTTAGCCCACTGCACAAGAGGCTCACCTCCCAAATAGGAGGACCTGGTTTGAGTCCTTGGTGAGAGTGCTGATGCCAGGCTGGGCACCACGTCTCGAAGATTAGAAGACTGAAGGGGTGCCTGGAAGATCTCAGCCTCATCGCACATCCGCTTGCTCTAAGGCTTCGATTCAACTTGACCCCCAGGTGCTTCAAATGCCTGTTGCAGTTTGAGAATCTGCAACTTGAAAAAATGGGGTGAACATGAGCTTCCATTATTAAAAATCAACAATCTGCATTGACTAAGGAACATTAGCTATGATAACAACAGTGTTGAATAAATGCAAAACTAAAAAACATAAGTTGTTTACTAAAATGAGACAAAACTCGGGCCCCAGGTCGGTAGCCTAGTGGCTAAAGTCCTTGCCTTGCACTCACCGGGATCCCATATGGATACTGGTTCAAGTCCCAGCAGCCCTGCTTCTCATCTAGCTCCCTAACTGTGGCCCAGGAAGGCAGTCGAGGACGGCCCAAAGCTTTGGGATCCTGTACTCGTGTGGGAGACCCAGAGGAGGCTCCTGGCTCCTGCCTTTGGATTGGCTCAGTTCTGGCTATTGCGGCCACTTGGGGAGTGAATCATTGGATGGAGGATCTTCCTCTCTTTCTCTCCTCCTCTCTGTATATCTGACTTTGCATTTAAAATAAATAAATCTCTAAACAAATTAGACACAACCTTCTGCTGTAGTGTTGTAATATCTTCACAGCAATAATCAACCACGTTTCTGAACACTCGTGTGTGTGTGTTCATTTGTTTTTGCTATTTCTATCACTTAGCTAATATGGGTAAATGTAAAGACCGTAGCTTCACAATATTAAGCATAGTGGAAACTAGCTAGGGTCTAGAATAACCCAAAGAGGCTGTAACATTTTGTAATCATGATCGATGGGAGCCAGGAAGCAGTAAAACCATCACAATTGCATTTCCATGAACGTCAGGCGTTATATAGAAAATGAGCGCGTGCCGGAGCCTGCCTTCCTAGCCATCGCACCAGCTGCTCTTTCTCACCTCAGGTGCTTTCTCTCCAAAAGCCAACCTTTCACCTTTCTCACCTCAGGTGAAACGTTGTTTCCTCAGGGAGACCTTCCTTGACCCCACTGGCTAAGTCAGCTCTTCCCCAACACACTCTTACAACATGCAACTTCCCCTTTCTTAGCTCAGCACACATAACTTCCCCCAAAACATCTTCTGCCTTCTCCTTGGGTCCAGGGCAACCGAAAGAGATAGAGAGGTGGGGTGGGGAGAGGGGAGCGGAGCTTCCATTCCTGGTTTACTCCCCACATGGCCATAACAGCCACATGGCCAAGCCAGAGCCAGGAGTCAGAAATGCTACTGTCTTCATCTCCCGCGTGGGTGGTAGCAGCCCAACTAGTGGGCTAGCCTCTGCTGCCCTTCCAGCTGCAAGCACAGGAAGCTGGAGTAGCTGAGACCCAAAATGGCACCTTGATATGTGGCAGCTTAATGCACTGTGCCACAACGGTCCACCTGTGGTTCTGAACTCACTGACCCTGAGTGTATTGTTAAAGCTTAACAAATACTAACCATTGTAAAATCATAAGTGAATGGTGACCTTCTTATTATTAAGTAAAGTAGTAATAGTGCTTTGTTTTGTTTTTTAATTTGTATCACCCTTTTCTCTTTTTTTAGCTCATTTTACCTCCATTGTCCTGCGTGAAACTCCAAAGACCCAGAGCTACCCAGTTGGCTCCCTTGGGCCTGCAGACTCACATACAGTCGCATGTGCTTTAGGGCCCAGCATGGCCTGTTCCTCTGTGTGTTGACACACGTACGTCCTCATTTCTCTGTGCCCCACGTCCTTCAGTTGCACTCACGTGGTGGGTACACTGAGAGAGAGCTGTCAGTATATACTTGTAGAGGACTCGGGATGACTGGGACCTAACAAATGGTAGCTGTTATGACAGGAGTACCAGACAGATCTAGCAAGTTTTCAGGCCACTGTGAGGAATGCAGTGTCCTGGGATATGCCTTGGGCCTAGGACGGCTGCTAGGGGCTGGGGGTGGGCTCAGGGTCTCTTCTTCCTGGTCCAGCTGCTTCCTGTCGTGCACCCTGGACGGCAGCAGCTTACTCCAGTACCTGGATTCCTGCTGCTCATGGGGGATTGAGTTTCCGACTTGGGTCTGGCCCAGCCCTGGCCACTGCAGGAACTTGTGGAGCCAGTCAGCAGGTGAATGTCTCTGGGTTGTTCCGTCTTTCTCTCTGATTCACAAATAAACAAGGAGACTAGATTCCCCACTATTTTGTTGAGTGCAAGAAGCCAGACACCAAGGGCCATGTATATGTTATTCCATTGGCATGAGGTTCAAGGACAGATGAGGACAGAGTGGAACTGCAAGGTAGGGTGAGCACAGACTGGGAAGGGACGCGTACGGCTGTTCAGGGTTCTGCATTCTGTCCTGCTTGCGGTTTCACGGGTAAGTTTGTACATGCAAGTGTGGTCTTAGGATTTGTGCACTTTGCTGTGTGGTTTTTAGCTCATTTTATAGTTTTTCCAGATCAATTCGTTTGAAAAAGCAGAGTTAGAAATAGGAAGAGACAAGACCTGTTGTGATAGCCTAGTGGCAAAAGTCCTTGCTTTGCATGTGTCGGGATCCCATATGGACGCCAGTTCATATCTCAGCTACTCCTCTTCCCATCCAGCTCCCTGATTGTGGCCTGGGAAAGCAGCCAAGGACGGCCCAAACATTTAGGACCCTGTACTTGCATGGGAGACCTAGAAGAGGCTCCTGGTTCCTGGCTTCAGATCAGCTCAGCTCTGGCCCTTGTGACCACTTGGGGAGTGAATCATCAGGAGGAAGATCTTCCTTTCTGTATATTTGACTTTCCGATAAAAATCTAATAAATGTTTCGAAAAAAAATATGGAACACTTCTTGAATTTGTGTGTCATGCGCAGGGGCCATGTCTGTCTTCTTTGTATCTTTCCAATTTTAGTATACATGCTGCCGAAGTGAGCGCAGTTTTTATTTCTTGTTTTTGTGACCGCTCCTCTTGCTTGATTTTCTTTCTTTAACTAAGAATTAATTTTAAATGGGAGGAAAAGAGACGGCAGAGAGCTACTGACCCCAAAGGTTCTGATGGTCCTGGTGGATTGGGGCTGGAACCAGAAATGAAGGATTTAGTCCCTCCAGGTCTCCCACGTGCACAGCAAGAACCCAAACAGCTGGGATTTAAATCTGGATTCCATCTCCAGCAGCTTCACACTCTTGGGACCTCTCACTAATTATTTTACTTTTCCAGCTGGCAAGTAATTTTCAAGTTCACTGAATATTTTCAAGAAAAGTCAGAGAGCTCCTATTGGGCCATTTCTGACCCAGTGCCACATGTATTCAGTGGTCCGTCGTTCTGTGTTTTTCCAGATCATTTTAGAGTGTGTTGCATGCACCCCTCCCCTTTGCCCTTCCCGGGTCTCATGATGCAACACAGTGTATTTAACAAAGTTAGTCATTTTAACACTGATAACTAAACTTTCTAGCAGATGGCTCATATTCCAGTGCTGCAGCTGGCTGGTCGCTTGCTCGTCTCGGAGTCCCTCAGATCTGGGAAAACTTATAGGAGGAGGCGGTACTTTGGACTATACCTTAAAAGACGAGCAGAGGGGGCCGACACCAAGGCGTAGTGCGTTAGACCTCCACCTGCGATTCTGGCACGCCATATGGGTGCTGGTTCATAACTCAGCTGTTTTATTTCCAATCCAGCTCCCCAGTAATGCACTTAGGAAAGCAACAAAAGACGCCCCAAATGTTTGGATCCCTGCACCCCTGTGCCAGAGTCAAAAGAGGTTCCTGGCTTCAGACCAACCCAGCTCCAGTCATTGCAGCCATCTGGGGAGCAAACGAGTGAATGGAAGTTCTCTCTTTCCCTGCCTCTCTTCCTCTCTACAACTCTACCTTTCAAATAAATAAATAAATATCTTAAAACACACACACACACACACACACACACACACACACACACACACACACACACATTAGTTTTCCAGGTAGCCAAGTAAAAGAAACACAGGCAAACCTCAGGCTAATACATGAATTTTAATTTAAAAATAAGTACGTGTGTGAACAGTTTTTCAGACAAAGCCTTTATAAAGGGGTGGGTCCTTAGGGATTCCATACAAATACAACACCCACACACACACACGAAAAAACTGCAGTCCATAGGGGAGTGATTGTCCCCCAACTCCTCTGGTGGACGCCCTGGAAGGGCCTGCTGGTCTCACATGGCCTGTGACTGTCCATGAGATAAGTGCTGTGATGAGGGTTGGAGAACGGGGCAGGCAGTGCAGCCCAGATAACCCCGTCCTCCCAGTCCTCCGCCCTGGCGGCCCCTGCTATACAAGGGGAAGGCTGAGCTAGATAATTCCAGAAATGCTGACCAGCCTGGGACCCCAAGGCCATCGGTCTGGTCTCGGCCCCTCCTAGGGGACCCTGTCCTTAGGCCTGGTGCTTTGTCCTTTCACTCCCAGCTCCAGTCTCTGGGGGTGCCAGGAGCTGCCAGCCAGTGATGCGATGTGACCTGGCGGCTCCCGGTGTTTTTAGGCCTCTGCACTCACCCTGCCCCTGGGTTGGCTGCAGATTAGAGGAAAAACAAAACAAATGACCTCTGCTTGGCCTGACAACACCACCAAAGGGAAGGAAAAACAGAAAAAACAACGATTACAACAACAAAACGGCCTTGGATTTATCTTCGCTGTCTCTTCGCTCTGGAGGGTAGGGGCAAGGCCAGGACCCAGGAGGGGCCCTCCTGCTGACCTGCCCCCACCCTGCAGTGGCTGCATCCTCTGTGTCTGTGGGTGCTGGGGGTGGGAGAGGGCAGGGGTAGAACCAACTCTGTCTGCCCCAAACCAACACAGGCTTTCTGTCACCGTCCCCACACACTGCAGTCCCCACCATCTCCACAGTTCGCAGGCTGTATCAGGCATTGGAAGCCACCCTGACCTAAAACATCCACAAAATATGCCTGGGTTATATGCAAACACCATAGCATTTTCTGCAAGGAGCTTTGCTATCTATTGAAGATCCTGGAACTAACTCAGCCCCTGTGGCCAGCAAGGGGCAGTGGTGCTCCATTTGGGACCCTGAATCACCTCCTATCTGCTCTCACCAATTGTACCCAGATGAGAAGCCCTCTCCTGTCCTGGCTCAGTTTCCCAGACACCCTGTGAGAGGGCCACTTGGCAACCACCTTTCATTCTGTAAGGAGCACTCCTGCCCCAGGCCCTGCAGCCCACTCCTCCCCAGATCCCAGGCAACCACGGTGAAGACAAGTTGAGGTTTAGACAGAGGATGGGGTCACCTGCCTAGGGCCAGAAGCCACTGCTGGGGGCCCACATACAGGTGCCCTGGATTGCACAGAACACGCTCAGTCTCCATAAAGACTGACACCCTGCCAGGTGATCAAAGCCCCTCAGCCCAGCTCTGCACTGCCCCTGCAGAGGGAGCCTGCTGGCCCAGGTGGTTAGTGAAGAACCCAGGGTGGCTGGGCACCTCTCAGCCAGCCTGCTCACCCCTTTCTGACCTGCTGGCTCTCAGGGGCTTCCCTTCCCCTCCCTGGGGGGTTGCCCAAGGGCTAAGTCCCCCTGCAGGAGTCCAAGTTAGCCCCAAGCAGGCTGGAGTCTGCACAGCCTGCTGAGTGCCCAGAGGCTGGAAGCCCATCCAGCAGAGACAGCCACTGGGAGCCACCCTAAATCACTGCTAAATCCTTCTTGCGAAATTTTTATTTCAGTTGTTGCATTTTCAATTTTAAAATTTCTATTTTACTCCTTTCTTCGAAAAAAGAAAAGTTATCTTTTTTTTTTTTATAGATAACAACACTGTCCTCATACTTCTCTCCATTTCCGTGGGACATTTCCTTAATTTCTTTGATGACATTTACAATGGCTTATGGAAGTCTTTATCTGGTGTGTCCAACTCGGCCAGACTTAGGGCCACGTTGATCTCATCTGCTTTCTTTCCCCTGTGCAGCATACTTCTTCTTCTCCCTTTGTTTCCCCCCTGATCATACTTTCCTGGTTTTTTGTTTGTTTGTTTGTTTGTTTTTGTGGCAGAACATTCAACATGTTCAACGACACCACGGTTGGCAATTCTGAAAATCAGCTGTCGCCTCCCCAGTGCTTCTCCGTAATCGTTGTATCCGTGTCTGTTGTGTGACTTTCCTGAAGGAATCCTGGGGAGTCTGCTGCTTTTCAACCCTCTGCCTGGTTGGCTTAGCGGTCAGCTGCTGGTTGGACAGCGGTTTCTTTGAGGGCCATGGACTGGATGTGATCTCTGCATCTCTGGGCGGTTAACCTTGGCCTCCACTTCCTGCTTGAGTGGACCTCAGTCAGACTTCTCAAGTACTTCCCAGGCAAGCGCCTTGCTCTGCTCCTGTGCGTGGACGTCTAGGTCCCCAAGAATACCTTGGCCCTTTTCAAAGCTCCAGCTTATATTTTTGAACTGTTTTGACTGCCTACCCATTCTCCCTGTCTGCTATTTTCTCAGGAGAGTGCCACGGGAGGCAATGGCTGCATCTGTTTTTTTTTCTAGAAACCCCCAGGGAGAAGTCTGTCCATCATGCTTGGGCTCAGTCGGTTCAACCAGAAGAAGGTTCTGGAATGGGGATTTCCAGGGAAACCCCTGCTGGGTCAAACAAGGAGGACTTTTAGAGAGTTCCTCTTTCTTCACGCCCCAAATGGTTCCATCAGCTCAAGCTGAGTTGATCCAAAACCAGGCACTTCACTGCTTTCCCAGGCCGCAAGCGGGGAGCTGGATGGAAGTGGAGCAGCCAGGATACAAGCCGGCACCCATATATGGGATCCTGACGCATGCAGGCGAGCTAGCTGAGCCATCATTTCAAGCCCAAATAAAACAAATCTTCAAAAAAAAAAGCCCAAAATATGAATGAAGGGCGGTTGTCAGCTTAGTGGTTAGAAGCTATTTGGGATTCCCGCATGTCATATCAGAGTACCTGGGCTTGAACCTGGTCCCACTCTTGATTTCAGCTTATGTATACCCTGGCAGACAGCCAGCAAAGGTACAAGTGGCTGGGTCCCTGCCACCCACATAGCAGACTCCGATTCAGCCTGGGGGCTGGCACAATGGTTCAGTTGCCTGCAAGCCCCGACATTCTGTATAGATGTCAATTCATGTCCCGGCTACTCCACTTCCCATCCGGCTCCCTGCCTTGGGACCCTGCACCACATGGGAGACTCAGAGGAGGTTCCTGGCTCCTGCCTTCTCATTGGCTCACTTCTGGTCATTGCAGCCATTTGGGAAGTGAACCAGTAAATGGAGGGTCTTTCTCTCTCTAGAAGTGCTTCCTAAGAAAAATAAATAAATCTCTGGCCGGCACTATGGCCTAGTGGCTAAAGTCCTCACCTTGCACATGCAGGGATCCCATTTGGGCGCTTATTCTAATCCTGGCAGCCCTGCTTCCCATCCAGCTCCCTGTTTGTGGCCTGGGAAAGCAGTTGAGGACAGCCCAAAGCCTTGGGACTCTGTACCCATGTGGGAGACCCGAAGGAAGTTTCTGGCTCCTGGCTTCAGATCGGCTCAGCTCTGGCTGTTTTAGCCATTTGGAGAATGAATCAACAGATGGAAAAGCTCTCTGTCTGTCCTTTTTTCTGTATATCGGCTTTTCCAATAAAAATAAATAAATCTTAATAATAAAACCCCAATAAACAGATTCAGTCTGGTGCAGGTCTGGCTTTCCACTTGAAGAGTGGAGCAGTAGATGGGAGGGAGGGGGCTCTCAGCTGTTTGCTTCTCAAATAACCGAAACACCTGTGAGTGTGTGTACATTATACACACAAGCACTTGAGTCTGAGTGTACACATGAGTGACGTGTGTGTGCCTGTGTGGGCACCTGGGCAGGTCTGGTGAGGCAGGGTCTTGGTCAGCCACAGCTGGCAGAGAAGGTCCCTGCCCTTGGATGCCTAGGGCAGAAGCCCCAAGGTAGGGGAGTTCAGCTGCTTTGCGCCAATG